AGTTTGTGAAAATATAGATAATCATGTATAGTAGAGGTGTGAAAAAACGAAGCGAAAAAAACGATGTTTAGTGCCCAAAAAATCGAAAATAAGAAAAATTTGTAGCTAATTAGCTACGGATTAGCTACGAAATTTTCTTATTTTTGATTTTTCGGGCACCAAACGTCGTTTTTTTCGTTCCGCTTTTTTCACACCTCTATATACATGATTATCTATATTTTCATCAATTTATATCTATTAATATTATTTATAAAATCTTGTGCACATACGGGTTCCATTGTCCGTTTAATGGTTTAACACTATAATGCTTATGAATACGTACACATACATCTCACAAACATGTATACATACACATATACACGTACACATATACCACAACTCATTAATGTGTATAAATATACATATACAAACATAATCCATCACAAGTTGGTGAAAAGTATAGGCATTACAATGTTAAACTGTGAAACGAGTACTTGATCCCGAAGGGGCACACGACTTTATGAACGATATTAATAGCTACAAGTTGGTGAAAATAAAGATAATCATGTATAGTAGATGTGTGAAAGACAAAAAGCGAAAAAAACGACGTTTGGTGCCCGACAAATTGAAAATAAGAAAAATCCGTAGCTAATCCGTAGCTACTTAGCTACGGATTAGCTACGGAATTTTCTTTTTTTTGATTTTTCGGGCACCAAACTTCGTTTTTTTCGCTCCGTTTTTTTCACACCTCTATTATACATGATTATCTATATTTTCACTAACTTATAGCTATTAATATCATTCATAAAGTTGTGTGTACATACGGGATCCATTACTCGTTTAGTGGTTTAACACTATAATGCTTATGAATACGTTTACATACATCGCACAAACACGTATATATACACATATACACGTACATATATACCATAACTCACTCATGTGTATAAATATACATATACAAACATAATTCATCACAAGTTGGTGAAAAGTATATGCATTACAATGTTAAACTGTAAAACGAGTACTTGATCCCGAAGGGGCACACGACTTTATGAACGATATTAATAGCTATAAGTTGGTGAAAATATAGATAATCATGTATAGTAGAGGTGTGAAAAACACAAAGCGAAAAAAACGACGTTTGGTGCCCGAAAAATTGAAAATAAGAAAAATCTGTAGCTAATCCGTAGCTACTTAGCTACGGAATTCTAACGGAAAGCATACTCCGTAGCTAATCCGTAGGTAATTTGTATCTGTAGGTATTCCGTAGCCATTTCGTAGCTAATTAGCTACGGAATAGCTACGGACCCGCATCCGTAGCTATTCCGTAGCTATTCCGTAGCTATTCAGTTACTAAACTAGGGCATCTCATTCGGTAGCTAATTAGCTACGGATATTTTCCGTAGCTAATTAGCTAGGAATATTTTCCATAGCTATTTTCCGTAGGAAAACGCCATGTTTTCTAGTAAATTAAATATGAAGATTGAAAATTATTCAACCTTTGTATGTCCCTTCTCAAGTATCATATCTAAGTACTCCAATTCGGCTTCTAACACCTCCCAAATTAAAATATTGTATATGTAATAAAAATATATGTTAGATTAATGTAAACCTAACATAATGATAATTACAATAATACCATCAAGTTTCTGAATAATGATAATTACAATAATGTTTCGGGATTTCCTAAGTTGAAACAATCCATTAGGAATGAGATAACTTTAGGATGTCCAGGTAACCATGGAACTATTGAAACAATTCGATTAAAAATGCATTGAATCACATAAGTGTCTTTGGTTGCTTCTAGAAAACTCTTGCAACTATATAAACATCAAAGAAATTATTTGGAAATTAAACAATTAATGAATTAGAATGTTCATGGTAACCAAAATACAGATGAAGGATTTAATTATATAAAACTATAAGTGTAAAAAATTATAAAAGGAGACATCATTGGCGTTGAAAAGATCAACGAAGGAAGATGATCTGACTCGGACTACAATGTCGAACAACAATTGCTTTGGAAGAGAACAAATGGTTGCCATTCGTGATCGGAAAGTCTTTTCTTTGTAGATCTTTTGGTTCAACACAGACCATATCAAAGCAATTTTGGGGATTAAGATGAAAATAGGGATGAGTTTTCTAGGGAAGAAGATTAACTGTAACTTTAAAAATGATCGGTCTTAATATTTTCCAGAATTACACTGCAAATAGCAACAACGCGTAAGGGGGAGAAGGGTGTAAAAGACTAAAAAGCTCGTGTGTGCAAGTGTGCAAGTTGCATGATGGATTTTAATGGACCATGTAGACCGCAACGGCTATAAGGACCAAATGTGATTGATTTGGAAACCACGGGGACGGTTGGCATCAATTTCCAATAACTTACACCAAAAGTGAATATAGGTGCATGCCTCAGGGACCATTTCTGTAATTTACTCTAATATTTGTTTTTTTATTTGAATTTTGGGCAGTTGACTTAAGATATTAAAAAGTAAACGACTCCAAAGTCCAAACCCTGGTTTGGGATTTTATACAGTGCGGCCGTTGTTTCTGACTGTGTATGTAGGCCTCACAGCGAGAACATGCCGTTTTTTCCATTAAAAATAAAAAATAAAAAAAGCGAGAACATGTTTTTCTTTTCAAAACGTTTACTTTCAATGTTTAAAGTCAACGCTAGCATATAAACTTCAACGAAATTTGATCTTTTCATGTATTAATATTCCTTTTTTCTTCTTAAATGGTAGATGAAGGTTAGCAAAGAGTCAATAAATGTAGTTTTTTAGCATTAGTTGAAATTGATTGATGCAAAGCTGGTTGATTTGCAAAAAGAAAAATGTTTAAATTTTTATTTTACTAATAATTAATGGGTCGGATATGATGATAAAAAGTATATTTTTATAATGAATAATAGGTTAAACCAAGATTATTTAAAAGATTTCATGCATTTGAATATACTTCGAACCAATTCAAACTATTTGATCCATTTTCATGTAAACTTAATTAATTACTTACTCATATTTACCAAATATAAACCAAGTCGACTCAGTTGCCTATAAATGATTTGAAATTAAAATTAAAATATATATCACAAATGTCATGGGTCAACGGGTACTCGATCAAATCTTTTATTACAACTTGGACATAACAAAAACTTTTTTCTTTTTTGGAATCCCCAACTTCGATTCACCAACCAATTAAGAGCATAAGTTCCCATTTCATTACCTTCCTTCCTCCTCCGGACCTCCTCTCCCTCCTCCATGGCCGACCATTTATGGCTTCTAATTCTTCTCTTATCTCTATGTACTATCTCAGTCTTGGGCAACGGTAAGCTTACTCTTATCAAACTGATTTGATGTATATGGTATTTAATTTGTCATTACAACTTATATGTAATGCGGGATTTTTGAGATTGATAATATTTGTAGTGTTTGTGAGCATCGATTGTGGGGCTTCGGATTCTTTCACAGATGAAAATTCGATAGTTTGGAAAGGAGATGGTGACTTAATATCAAATGGTGTTACACACGTTGTGCAATCAAACTACTCGGTATCTCATGTTATGGACACCTTGAGGGTTTTCACCACCCGTAAAAAGAACTGCTATTCTATAGAAGCAGAAGAGGGAGGGAAAGTTTTGGTTCGTGCAAGTTTCAACTATGGGAACTATGACCAAAAGTCAAATCCTCCGATATTTGATCTGCATTTTGATGGGAACTTTTGGATAACTGTAAATACTTCTCAAGTAAAAATATACGAAGCTATTTATGTTGTGAAAAGGAAAGCTATTAGTGTATGTGTGGCGCAAACGAGGCCCAACAATTTTCCATTTATATCGGCTCTTGAAGTACGTAGTGTCGACTCACAAGTTAACAGATACGTCGACACAAATTACGCGTTGTTCATGAATGCAAGGGTTGCTTATGCTACAAATGAAACTACAAGGTATGCAACTATATTATTTCCAACTTGTGTTTTCATTTATTTTGGAAATATTTAAATATGTAAAACAATTTTTAATAGTTACAGTGTTACACGATAGAAATGTTGAAATAAATCAATAATGGACAAACAAATATAAGGTGGACTAAGACGTTAGTTTGTTTCCCTGTAAATTGTTATTTGAACAATATGTTGTCTAGTTAATATATGATGTTTATAAATCATTTAAGAAATATAGATATCTTTTGAAAAAAGAAAAACAAACAAGAGCAATGACTTGAACTCGATACTTCCATTGAAATGTGGCTATACCTTCCGTTCGAAGCCAACTTTTGATAATGTGTTATCATTTATCATATTTTTGCATCATGAACTAAAATATGCGAACTATTGTTTATTTTAAGGTTTCCAGCAGACTCTTATGATCGAATATGGCTTCCCTCACCTGGTGGTAATGGACTACTCAATATGAAATCTGATGCATCTGTGATCAATATTGGTGTGCCCAATAATCCTCCTCAAGAGGTCCTAAAACATGCAATCATGGTACCAAACACAAGTCAGATGATAACCCTAGGATTACCTACCATTGATTACCCCATTCGTTACCCTCTCTACATAAATTGGTATTTCTCAGAGATTCAAGAAGTCAATTCTACAAATATACGATCTTTCAGGGTTTTAGAAAATGGGTTACCCTTTTCACTCGCGATTGTACCTCCTTTCGGAAATGTGACTGTTTATTTCATAAGTAATATTACAGTCACCCCAGACACTAACTTCTCACTAGACCCTCTCGTTGGTGCCACACTTCCCCCTCTTATAAATGCCGCAGAGGTTTACTCGATTAGTGATGCCCTAACTAATGGAACCAACAACAATGATGGTATATTTGCTAATACGTATAAGTTTTTTTTTCTAAATTTTAACTTTCATTTTATATGACATATGTTCGTATTTTGTTTTCTTTTTTCTTATTATGTAGTTGAAGGTTTAGTTTCTCTCCAAAAAGCATTTGGCGTTTTGCAAGGATGGGGAGGAGATCCTTGTCTCCCTGCCCCATATTCATGGGAATGGATAAATTGCAACAATGACGCCACACCTCGTGTGACATCATTGTAAACTTTACATCTCTTTGAAAGTTTGGATATAATTTTTTTTTTCTAATTTCAATTTGAAGTGTTCTAAATTTATTTATTTTGCAGGAATCTTACTGGTTTCAACCTCTCTGGGCCACTTCCAGACTTTAGCAAAATGGATGCTCTTGAGATAATGTGAGATCTCAAGAGAAAAAAATTAATTAGATAATTGTTTTCAATATTTAATTTATTACCTAATGTTTATTGAATTACTTTTACTTTTATTATGTAGAGATTTTCATAATAATAGCTTGACCGGTCCAATTCCTGATTTTATTGGCAACTTGCCAAATCTCAAGCAGCTGTGAGTTTTATTTCCTATTTTTTGTGGGTTTTGTATATAAAAGTGTAGTAAACTCTAATATTTAAAAAGAAAAACATTTTTGTTATTTTCTACTTTCAAGAATAACTTTTCTAATTTTTAATGAATTCACCTTTTTCAGGTATTTGGCAGATAATCAGTTTAGTGGATCCATCCCAAGATCACTATCAACAAATTCCAATTTAAATCTTTCGTAAGTTTTTTTGTAATGAGTTCTTAATTTCTCTTCATCTTTTTTAATATATTTTTTCTGTCAATTATTCCACAGACTTACAGAAAACCCCCTGTTATGTACGAATGCTAAGTCATGCCCTGGGAACAACAAAAATAAAAAGCAAACCAGCAAATTACCAGTAATACTCGGTATCACTATTCCGGTATTCTTCATTATTGCAGCTATCATTGGCTTTTTGGTCATAAGGCATAATAGACGTATACAACATACAGGTCGGATTATTGATACACCAATTTGTTTATAATGGTCTTTTTGTGGCGTATTAAATTGGATAACTCTTGTGTTTATTGTGCATCTTTACATAGCTTGCATCTCAACATATGCAACTTTATAGTCACGTTCTTCGGGTATTTTTGCTTAGTTTTGTAATGAATATTTCAGGTGATATAAGTCGAAATATAAATGGTCCAAGTAGTACAAGAGGAACTATGCCCAATGGTAACGTTGATGACGAAGGTGCCAATGAGTTAAGGGGAAACAAGGAAGAACGGTTTTATGCTTCACCTTCGCCATTACTCGCTGAAGGTTAATGTAATAGTTGAGTAATGTGAACCACAATGAGACTAATCGATATCTTAAAAACCATTCTTTGTAAAAAGATTGTTTTATTTTTTTGGAATAAGTTTATATAACAACGTTGTGTGTTAGTGTATGTTTTGAAGATCTCTTTTGTAATTATTTGTACTTAGAGGTAGTTTCCATATTTAGTCCTAATTAGCTAGGTTAATGCATATTGTATTGTATTGTAAATTACTTTGTACGCTTTTCTTCTTTAATAGAATACGGACAACAACTTCAACCTTTTGGCCGCATTGATTATTGTTTTTCTCTCTGTCGAATACCATTTACGGTGCTAACATAGTATTAGAGGTTTAGGAATCATCTTTGGACCTACACTATCAACTTACATACCGATCACACTACTAGAAAACTGAGCAATAGCGACAGAATTTTAGCGACGGAAAAAGTGACGGGTTTCTGACGGATTTCCTACAGAAGAATTATTAGGATATTAGCGACGTATTTTGCGACGGTTTGGCAACATAATAAAATCGGTCGGGAATCCGTTACAACTTCCAACGGTTTACCGACGGAAATCAACAAATCTGAAATTCTGTCGGTAATCGGTTGGTAAATTAATATTTTATTTTTTAATTGTAAGGGTAATTCGGTAAAATCAAATAAGAGGTATTTCACGTGCTATCATGTGCTGCATATCGATTTGACCTAAATCAAGGGATGCTTATTAAAATTAGCTTATTTAGCTTATCCTCACCACAATAAGCTGATTTTTAGTGTTTTTTATCCAAACACTTAAACTTAGCTTATAGCGGTAGGGATAAGTAATAAGCAATAAACACTCTCTTTTTTCCCTATCCGAACACCCTCTAAATCAAAGCTCCAACTGTGATCGAAGGTCGACAACACGAAGCATCGCCTCCGGGCTCTCGCTCTCTTGTCGCCGCCGCCGTCGACGGGGTTGAAGGTGTCGAACGCTCTGACTTCTACAATTTGTTGAGTACTGCTTAATTCATCCATACATTCCTAAGTGAAATGGAACTTTGTATTGATATATTTTTGTTTGTGGATTATTGGATTCTTCATCATGTGATTGCCGATTTGTTGTTAATAAAAGGTTTAATCGGTCTTTTATACCTTGACATTTTTCCTAACAAAATTACCAACCAACAATTCGTCTCCTTAGTCTCCATAAACTCCAATTCACAAGATGACAGATCTTGCAAGCGACAACCAACTGGGATCGTGACGGGTCGATAACAAACAAATTGGTCATTCTATCCTTAAAAACATCTTATAGAGTATGTTAAAAGACGTCTTTATTTGTAAAAATAACGTATTACTATTGTCAAACATCCATAAAATATCACCATCCATGTCGACTAGATATCATCTTCGGCTAGTTATCCAATATTTATGATATTATTTTTAAGTCTAGGAATGTAATGCACATCGTTAAGTAATTTTTCCGTTTTTGCAATCAAACAAAATTGAACAATTTCTTTCGTTGTCGATTTTTGATATGTCTCCAAACTGAGTGTGACCCGCTATTTTCTCATCTAGTTTGTGAAACTTAGATTTTTCAGATGTCATGTGGTCGCTAGAACCATTTTCGATATACCATACATCGGACTCGACTCGAATTTCTTCGACAAAAGAAGACTAAGGCAGTGTTTGATAAAGGTCTGATTGGGTCGAGTCAGCAAATTGGGCTGACTCGGTCAGACCTGAAGTGTTACATTTGTGCTTTCTCGGTAAGATCAGCTGACCCAAATTGCTTTCTCGCTCAGTTCCTTGACAATCGCTGACTGGAAATTAGACCATCCTACCCCTCCGTCTTTATTCTTTCTTCCTTCATTCGTGTTCCCTTCCCAGTGACCTAAAAGCACAGCCGGCCGCTATACACGAAGAACTCCCAGCGAACGCCAAACAGAGGTCGCCGGTCT